AATATGAAAAGAATGTTTTTCCAAACATTTGTGAAAAGTCTCTTCTGCTGATCAAGACTGGATTTACATGATCAAAAAAAGAAATATTGCAGAATTTTATTTGAATGATGTGATTTTTGTTTGATTTATTTAGAATGCTTTGCAGTTATTTACTTTAGTGTTGAATTTTAACCATCATTACTCACGTCTCTCATTTTATTATCAGTGTTGAAAAAAACAAACATCTATTTAAGGCTTCAAGGACAGGAATTGAAAAGCACAAACTAAAGTGAGTCATGCAGCACTGGAAAACATTTGTATTGAGGTTTTAGACAATGGCACAAGTCTTTGAACCAAACATGGTGTGGTGAGATCATACAAATACTTTTTCTTTAATAATGATTCAGAGAAATATGAAAGTTGAATATTCCAGTAATGTACATGACACTGCCTGACTATTACTATTCAAATGGGATGCCTTTTTTTTCTCCGCCTGATCCGTATTTCATTAGTCGACTGATCTGACATGTCGAACAGGGCTGTTTTAGATGCTGGCTATTTTCCAGATCACATTCTGTCAGCGTGCTGGTTTCTCCCAGTACTGTATTTCCATTTTGTGTCGTCTTTTTTACCATCATGGAAGTGAAATGTTAATAAACCATGCAGCGGCCTGAGAATGATTATTATATGGAGGTGTATGAATTAGGGCCGGCTTGTCAAGTTTGTCAGGGTGCTGAATTAGAGAGACCGGTGTGAGCTATAAAGTGCCACTTCATCTGTCAGTGCCGGCTTTGTTGGAGCTCAATTAGCATGCAGATTTCGGAATGCTTTATGAGAGCGCTGGCACTGAAGGACCTCTCAAAACATTGATTTATGATCGGGGCTCTGTCGCCGTTGCCTGTGGTGTTGGGGCGGCCTGCATTGGGCCTTTTGTTTTCACATAATGTTTTTACAGTTTGGCAAGATCTTGTGCGATAAGCGATTAGATTTATATTTTCACACATCATTGTTCTAAAGAGGATTATGCAAGTGTTTGTTAAGCGTCTTACAATATTTAGGTTATACAGTGCCATCCACTAATATTAGTACCTTCGGTACATATGAGCAAAGATTATTTTGCTCAAATTATAAAAAAAATAAATCTCATACTATATAACCACCTTTTCACTGCACAGTGTTATATTTTACTCAGGTCTACAACCCCAATTCAAAAAAAGTTGGGACAGTATAAAAAAACCTACATTTAAAAATGTTAAAAATCAAGCTGTTTTTTTTTTTTTTTTTTGCGTTTTCCATACTGTCCCAACTTTTACTGATTTGGGGTTGTAGTTTCAGTTTGGTTTTCCCTAGCTTGGTTTGCATTACTACGTTTTCGTAAATGGCCTTAACTACTATGTACTTGCATCAAAAAATAATACAATGTACTTTCTATGTTCGTAATCTATTACAGAACACATCTGGTTATGCTGAGATGGGGCATGGGTAAGTTTATGCCGAGTTCAGATTGCATGATTTTCAAAGTAGTCATGTCACTGATGTTTTCACACCGCATGACTATCTGGGGCAGCATTCTGTTGGTGCTGTGTTTACACTGCAAGATGGATCCACAACAGGGGGTTTCACATGGCATGACTTTAAAATAGGAAAAATCGCAAACAACTTTGTCGTGGTCTGCAAACTACGTCTCTCACAACCAAACACATGCAAGATTTGACATGGAAAAAAATTGAGGTCATGTACTATATCTTTTGGTATTAACTACATAATAAGAAAGAACTCTTTATTGGGCTTGGAAATTTACTTATTTTGCTTACCTGGCTTTGATGGGAATTAGCAATTTCTCCTGAACTTTTTTTCTTTTTCAACCCATTTGTAGTATTGCTCAGATGACATGTCAAACAGGCATGGATGCTCCTGCCAAATTTACACTAGTTTTACCTCCATTTCTTGGGTCCTAATACACCAAAACGAAGCACTTTTAACTTCTCCCCAACCTCCCGCTGGCCTGCAGATACCCACACTTGTGGATGAAGCTCTTTCATTGGCAGATGTTAGTTTTAACCAGAACACATTTCACATGGCATGATTTTGAATCGCTGACAGGTCCAGATATTTAGCATAGCATTATCTCACGGGCGTCTGCGCCTCATTGGTGATTCTCTCAGATCAAGTCTTTGATAGTTCACATTGTGTGACTCACGTAAATGAGCACCAATTCGCCTGTGATTTCAGCCATTTGTCTGCGAGTTCTTAAAACCATTCAGCAAGTCAAAATCAGGGCTAAAATCAAGCAGTCTGAACTCGGCATTAGGCAGAGGTTTGTTGGCATGGGTAGGTTTAAGGATGGGTTAAGGTGTTAGAGATGGTCAACATTGTGCATTACAACAGTAATTACAGAAATTAATTACAGATGTAATTACATGCTGATACAGTATTTAATCAGTCATAAGTACCATGTTAAAACATGTATTTACACAATTCGTACATTGTGACATGATTAATTTCAGTGTAAGTACATATTAGTTAAGGCCACTTTACAATATGGGACCAAAAAAAAAATCATTCAGACTTATCCCATCCACTCCTCGGCTATCAATGAAGGAACACTGGACCTCTTCTACTGACCATAATACTGAAATGTATGGTGTCTTTTCATGGGGTGAAATGAATATGATTTAGTCATGCAGAACAACAATACAGCTGTAGATTCTACTGATTATTTAAATATAGCAGGTTTAGTGTTTCCAATGACATTGGTAGTGAGGATTATCTCTAACCAGTCTGTGATAGAATTGTGGAACCTCACCTGTGGTGGTAAAAGCCCTTAAAACCATACTCGATCGAACCAAACTTTGCCATACAATGCAGTGGAAAGGTACCTATATAAAACAAACTAAATTAAATAATAAGTATCATATATGTGTACCAAAAATATTGGTTCTCCTGTAAATTTACATGAGCAAAATAGTTTGGAATTTACTATTTAGAGAGTCAACACAATGGGTAAGACCAAAAGTACATAATGTTTAGTTTCACAAAAATAGGAAGCTTTAAGAGTACACTAATCCTGATCTATTTGAAAACAGCATTTTCAGCTAAAAACTTTCTGTATCCTCACTAATGTTTTCAGTTATTTTTGAAAAGGTTAATACTGTCATGAGTTAAAAATATGTTAAAACGTGAGATTCTGTGACCTGCATAATTTGTGCCTGATATTTATTTACTTTTCTAGACTTTGAAACACCATGGTGATATGTTGAGGAAATGCACCTAATGAACCGACAATGAGGTGGAGTTGTTGCTGCGAGTAACGGAGGAATTTAAAGTTACAAATGCAAAAAAACAATAGAGACTTGAAGATGTGCCAACTAACAAATCTGTGTAATACTGTATGCCTTGTCCTTTGAGGAAAAGTAATCTGGAGCATGTACAAAATGACATTAATCTTTAACAATGCTGTCAACTTTAACAACTGCTCTACTACACTGTCATCCACCAATTTAGCTGCATTGGTCCCATGACTAAAATGCGTCATTGTTTCAGAAATATTTTTTTTCCTCACAGGCGACAATGCGAGAAACGTGAAATTTTAAATTTATTCACTTTGGAGAGCATTTTCTAAAATAAATATTTACACTGTCTAAAAATCTGGTCTCAATGATTGATGGCCAAAATGTAGAGAGAAAAAACCTCTCAGTGTGTTTTTATCATTGTGGACATGACCAAAAACACTAAATATGTTACGGTTGTGGTTGGGGAAAAAGGAGCAAGGAATCAAATGCAAAGAAAATGGGTATTTACTAATAGTAAAAAAAAAAAACAGCAAAATAAACTAGACCAAGGTGGAAAACATTAATAAAACAAATAAAAAATCAAGACAAACTAGACTGGGTTGGCTGGCAGGGATAAGGACTGGAACACATCAGGAGAAGGCAACATATGATGACGAACTGGCACAGGACAGCAGACATGAGGAGAATTTAAGCTGGAGTAAATTAACACACAAACAGATAAACATAATCAACTAGTAATGGGTTTACAAGGAGGGTGGGACTGGACAATAGACAGGAGAGCACAGGACACAGAGACAACACAAGCCATGTGCTCACGTATGAGAGAACTCATTAACCACACGTTCACAATAACAGGACAAGACTGAAGCACGCGGCCACAATGTAAACACAGACCCACATGCTTGGACAACACGAATAGACGCAAGACACGAGCACAGATAGATGAACACCTTACCGTGCGCTCACACATATGCAACGCGCATGTTTCATCTCAGCGTCAACCAAAACTGAAACCAACTAGACGGAGACGCTGAGATTGAAACAGTGCGATGTCGACAGAACAAAACACAAACACGAGTACAAGAGCGCGTGTCCGAGACACGCACAGAGCCCGCGCGGCCGCATCAAGCGGGAACGCACGCTCTGCGCATACCCACAATGGCGCGCGCACACAGAGACACTCACAATGACAGAAACAGGACAAGACAGAGCTAGTGTCTGGACTCTGCCACCAAAAAAGAATTTACAAGACCAGAGTGGCAGAACCCTGACAAAATATGCACTTTTCTACCTTCAGGGCCACCATCTGAGAAATTCCAGTAAACTGATAATGTCAAGAATCATTCTGAAAGAGGATATGTGGCTCTTGTCCAAATGTGCTGTAAGGGTAATAGTTCAAGTAGCCATTTTTTTTTTACAAATAACAGCTGGAGAATTGTCAAAGTTACAGGTAGTTGGTGTTTGGGGTCAAATAGTCTCTAAAACTATAATCTGACATTGCCAAGAATTGTTTGGTAGGGTTTAAAAAGCCTCTTTGTTTATCCAAAAACAAACTCCAGCATCGTCAGTAGATTTTTTAGTAAAAAGAATTAATGACAGTTTAGATTTACCAATGTTAATGTAGGGCACTGTGCTTTGTTTCTTTGATTTAATCTACTTTACTGTAAATAAAGCTCTGGTAGATAGTATTTCCACTGATTTCTCTTACTCGTTCTTTCTTTTTTGTAGCTGTAAGCAGAAGCTTTATCTTGAAAACCTCCCAAACACGAGTATCATCATCCCGTTCCACAATGAAGGCTGGTCCTCTCTGCTCAGAACCCTCCACAGCATCAGCAACCGAACACCGGATCACCTGATCGCAGAGATCATACTGGTGGATGACTACAGCGACAGAGGTAAGAGCCTGATCTGTCTATCTCTCGCTCAGCATCTGCTGGACATCAGGGTCATTGCTGGAGTCTTTGAGCATTAGCTGCTCAAAATGAGGTTTGAATGGGGCTTTGACAGCGTTGGGTCCTCAAGAACAACAGAAGGTGGAGTGGATTTTGTCATTTATTTGGAGAATGATTGATTCTGAACTGGTAGGGACTTTTTTAACCTCTCTTGGCTTTCTTATAAAACTTTTCAAAGCTGTTATTGGGTTTGTCTGGCAATGGTGTGCAACAGTGCTTATACTTTTATCACAGTAAGAGTTCATATTGGTGTTGTTTTTTTTTCTTTTTTTTGTTACTTTTGTTAAGTTCGTGGTTAAATGAAAGTTTTGTTATGTTATGGGATATTTTCTTTAGTTTCATTATTCATTATTATTCATAATTTTAGATAACTGTAATATATCGTGTAAAATGTATGTGTGCGTGTCTATACACTACCTGACAAAAGTCTTGTCGCCTATCCAAGTTTTAGGAACAACAAATAAAAACTTGACTTCTAGTTGATTGTTTGGTGTCAGAAGTGGCTTATTTGAAAGGTCCTCTAGTCTACACATTTTATCAAAATAAAATAGGATCATCCTTGATTTTTACTTAATTAATTAGTACAGAAAGGTCTGACTTTGCTTTTTAATTTTGAATGGCAAAGAAAGAGTTCTTGCTAGACTCTGGACTCCAGGACTCTAGGACTCAGGTCTGAGTTCATCAAGATTCTTTGGATCTCTAGACATGCTCATTAATGTTCATGTCTGGTGACTGGACTGGCCAATCCTGGAGCACCTTGAACTTTTTACTTTCCGGAACTGTGATGTGGAGGCTGAAGTTTAAGAAGAAGCACTATCCTGCTGAAGAATTTGCCCATTCCTGTGGTTTGTAATGTAATGAGCAGCACAAACATCTTGATACCTCAGGCTGTTGATGTTGCCATCCACTGCAGATCTGCCCCCATACTGAATGTAACCCCAAACCATGATTTTTCCTTCACCAAACTTGTCGGATTTTTTTGAGTATCTTGGGTCCATGCGGGTTCTAATAGGCCTTCTGCAGTATTTGTGATGTTTGTTATGCAGTTCAACAGATGACTCATCTGAAAAATTTACCTTCTGCCACTTTTCCAAATGATCAACTAGAGGTTGAGTAATTATTTAAAATATTTGTTGCTCTCAGAACTAGGATCGATGTCAAGGTTTTTGTCAGGTAGTGTATATATATATATATATATATATATATATATTTATATAAATATGTGTGTGTGTGTGTGTGTGTGTGTGTGTGTGTGTGTGTGTGTGTGTGTATATATGTATATATATATATATATATATATGTGTGTGTGTGTGTGTATATATATATATTTGAATAATGAAAGGCAGTATTTGTTTTTTTTTTTGTGATGTTTTAATTCCTTTTCTAATATTTCCCAAGTGCTGTTTAATGAAGATGATATATTTTCAACACATTTTTAAACATAATGGTTTTAATAACTATTTTGTAATAAAAATATTTCTTTGTCTTTATGACAGTATTTAGTATTCTCAATAAAAAATATAATAAGAAATAATGTGGAAAAAAAAAGATCTCTTAAACATCACTCAGGGAACTCATTTGTCCTTTTAATACTGTTGCTTTTATTTTATTTTTTAGCAACAGCAACATATTCTATGTTCAATAAGGTATTATTGTTGTTGGTGCATAAAGTTCAGAATTGGTGGTTTTAAAGGACCAGTGAAGTGCTTTGAAATGAGCAGTTTTTTATTTGAAATTTGACGTAATTTCAACAGAAACATGACAGGGCAGGACATACTGTATAGTAGCTCCTCCTCCTCCTCCTGTTTTTTCGCCGCTCTTTCAGTGAGAGTGTTTGAGATCAAGTGCATCAAATGAAAAGCAAATGAGAAGCATCTTAAAGGGGGCAGGACATGACAATTACTATAAAGCTTTTGATTGATCATAAGATTTGATGAGAAACTGAAGTATGAGTTGATGTAAAAATCTGACGTTTATATCTTTAAAAGTTTAGATTAGGTTTACATAATCTAAATGTGAAAATTTTTTAGTATTATGTTAATTGAAAACTACCATAGTACTAATACTAACCAGGGCTTGACATCAACACCCACCAGCCTGCTAAATGAGGGTAGATTTAAGCTGTGTCCAATTAGATAGACACCCCAACTAGCCAATTTGGCTAGTTGATTTTTATTTTTTTTTTTAATTTGCCAGAGCTGCCTCCTTCATAAACATTAGAAATTTAGTTTAAGATCGTTTGTCAATATGTGTGAAAATATGCTCATGGAACCGAGAAGCAGCACGATTGACTGTTCGCATGAGCAAAAGAAAGCAGGTGAATACCGAATGAGAGGATGATCAGGCGCATGGTGACGTTTTGAGCAATGAACAGCTGATTTGATGTGCGCGAGTGCTGAAAAGCTCCCGTTTCCTTGCGCAAAACAACCATGCTTGGAAATGTAACTGGTGCGATCGTTTCTCTTTGAAATAGATTGGAAAAAAGCGGTGCACGTACACCCACAGTCCTGTTGCTTTCAAGAGATCTCCAGATTTTGCGGCTGTTGCTGCTTTCGCTGTTACCATTATTAAACAGATTATTACTGGGCCTAATGTTAACTGCGTGCACATGATCATCCTTTCACTATCGTACACCGAATTTTTTATTTCAGCTGCTTTCTTTTGCTTGCAGTTATTTTTTTATATGGTTTAATTATCATCCTTTGCCATAAAATTGCTTTAATAGGCGGATGACTCTCCATTTATCTATAGTTATCTGATGATCTGGGACCTTTAGTCTAAACAAACTATTGTGTATAATTTTGGATAAATGATTTTTTTTTTTTTTAATGCCAGTTATTGTTTTTTAAGAACATTTTTGCTGAATTATGTACACAGCTATATTTAGCTTGTTTGAAACATTTTTCATTTGTTTATTTATTTTATTTTATTTTTTGTGGCATGGAAATAATTAGTTTGGTTTGGCCAGAGAAAATAAATGGTAAATCTTTAGTGTTGAGCCCCTCTTAAGGAGACATGTTGACATAACATATAATTTAAATCAAGTCATTTTACCATGCCAACATCAAATATATGTAATAAATATAGTTTCCCAAAAACAAAATTGTGGCTAGTGAAATTTGTGAGTGGCTAGTATCATTAGAAAAATACTAGACAAAGTGGCTGGTGATCAGAAAAGTTATTGTCAAGCCCTGATACTAACATCTAACCTTTCCAACATTTCATAACATACTAACATTTCAGGGGAAACTTTAAGCAATAGAGTTTGGGCTGTGACAATTAAAGGTTGTAACCGTTAAAAAAGTCTTGGTGTTCGTGTAGCAGTCAAAAAATTCCCATTTTATTTAGCTAATAATTCATGGTATACTATACCACTTTATAGCACCACTAACTTTATCCAGCTTAAACTTGTTACTATGCCCAAACAAAGTGCTCATGTTTGTAAATAATACCGTGTTTACATTTATGGCTTTGTATATGAGTCAGTGCTTTAGGCATAAATTAAACATGTTATGGAAAATACATATGTAATTCACGTCCAAATTAAGCCATTTGAGGACTTGCAAATATAACAATTTCTGGTTCAGTATTATTTTGTAAGCTTTTGCCTCTTTTAGTGTCTCACTGTATTTTGTCAGTGGAATTCAGTAAGGAAGCCATCAGGATCAGGTCTTAGCTCAGAGATACACTGATAGCACACTGCCTTTTGAACCAGCATCCCAACCTCCCGCAATAAATCAAAGAGAACGTCCCAGCGCACAATACCCCTCTGTACTACAAGACATCTCAGCCAATAGCATTCCATCTCACAGCTGGTCACACATCACTCCCGTAGAGGAATAACAGGAGAACACAATAGTGAGCGTGTACTGTGCTCTGGCCTTCTCTGTTCCCATTACAATACCCATATCCAGCTGAAATGAGCTGCCATTAGATGGACAGGCATCTTACATGGCTTTGGCTTATGATGGTAAATGAGGGCTTTCTTGAATTACACAGATGCTGTCTGTATTGTAATACAGTGTTGCTAAGTCCATGTAAGGCCAGATGGCATGTGTACTGTACATCAGAAAGCTTCAGCATTTCAAGCATTGCATTGGTTAGTTTCCATTGATGATGAGCTCATGTGAGACACAGATTCTCACTCAACAGATTTTTGACCTAGAGCAAGTGTAGCAACTCTCAAAAGCATTGGAAATGCCAGTCTTCTGGCAGCACTTTTGAAAGCCGATCTTTTAATGGAAAAAAAGAGCTTAATCCCCTGTGTATCCACTCAGTATTAGTATAAATATGGCAAGCCATTTTAACATTCAGTCTGTGGTATGTGTGTAGAGTTTGAATCCATTTTTATTCTGCTGTAATTGTACTTATTTTTTAGAAACTGTTATCTTTCCTTTGAGTACTGGTACTTATTATTTAGCTTCTAGTACTTATTCCAGACACTATGGCCTTTTAAAGTGATGCTAATATTTATTACTGTATGTTCACACTGAAGGTGTGCGAGACCGTCAAAGTAGCCAGAAGTCATTCATCTTCAATTGGAGCTAGTGGCGATAAACGGCGTAGTGCATTTTCGTAGTGTGGGCAGTAAGGAGAGTTAAAATCAAGTCAACTTAATGGTAATGAACTATGATGTGGTTCGGCGGCAAGCAATCAGAAAGTAGAAGACTACCTCTTGAGAGGATAAATAAATAAATAATTGTATGCAAATAAATAACTGGAACGGGAAAATGGAGTATCCACTGTGAAAAACAATTGACTGAGTAATTGGCAGTTCATTCCATTGTGCATTCCTAATAAACCAGGGACTAAGCCAACAAAAAAGTGAGTGATCTGTTTAGTTCTAATATCCAATAATAAATATTAGTGTTTAATATATAAATACTAGTAGCTAATAATGTTTAGTAAAATATTTTAATTTGCCCTTCCAACGTTTTTTTTTT